CTAAAACTTTTTATTTTTCAATTGATACAAAAGTGATCTGGTTCATGCTATTAACTGCCTGGCAAACTTTAAAAAAACTTTTTTGTTAAAGCTCATTACAAGAAATTTTTCATGCTCTTTAAAAAACAAGATTCTGATATACATAATTAACCTAAATCAAAATTCACAATGGTGGCTGAAATCCTGTCAACTTTCAGCCCAATACAACAAATCTAGTTATTATGCGTAAGCAATTCAAAATTAAAGTTTAAAATGGAAATGTCAGTAAGTCATAACTACAACATATCACTACTGATGGCTTCTGCTGTACCAGGCACAGCAGATGTGCATAACTGATAGACTGCTGAGAAAACTAAAGTTATCTGAGCTATAAGTAAGGAATATATAATTATGAACATAGCAATGTCAGAGTATTAGGGCTGTTAAGTAAGATGCAATGTAAACACAACCAATTGTTCTCTCTGTAAGCTATCTACTGATTTATAAAGCTACAGTTTTATAATTCATTTAAAAGAAAATTTTTCTACACTGCTGCATGCAATAATTTCTTTGTACATTCTTGACTACAAGGCAATTTTCAAATCCTCTTGCACAGCTTGATATATCTCATTAGGATTTCTCCAGAAAACTTGTCATACTTTCAGCAGCCTTTAGTATTTCAGTAGTCTTGTGAAGCTCTCTAATAACTGATGATAATGCTTCTGGGTTAGTTCCTTGTTCACAGAGCTTTACACAAATTGACAAAGTTTCCACATCTAAGCCAGTATTCAAAATTCTTGAAATCTCAAGCAGAAAGTCCATCTGTGGTCTCCTTCGCCACGTTCAGATTCACCATTGCCCTCGGGTATTTTTTCCTTAAATTTATTAGGGTATTATTGCTGTATGAAGGTATCCAGCAAATGATGGAAACATGCCAAAATGCTACTTTACCAGTTAAAATGGCTGTTAAAATTTTATTTTTATTTCCTTCATTATATCTCATTTCTAGTTAGTGTAAAAATAGTGCATGTAGTGTAACCCATTACAAAGGGAGAAGGGAAAATTGAATAGGGCTGAGGTGTTGTGCAATCATCCATCACTTAATGACATTTCTGCGTTCTGAGAAATGCCTTTTAGATGATTATGTTGTGCAAGCATCATAGTGTGTACTTAACAAGAACCTATACAGCATGTTACCGTACAGCATGCTGTAGGCAATTGTAACACAATGGTAAGCATTTGTGTATCTAAACATCTAAATACAGAAAAGGTACAGTAAAAATCTGTTATCATCTCATTGGACCACTGTCATATATGGGTCCATTGTTGACCTTAAAGGTCATTATGTGGTGCATGACTGTTTATCTTGCTCCAGAAAGTTGATGATAGAGTTGGAGAGCTTCATGATAATATTTTCCTGGTAAACCAAATTGAGGAGGGTTCCAGAAGTTGTTAAGCATAATTTCATGTATGATGAATTGGAATAAAGGCACCAAATTACTTGTTACCAGGATATCATAAGTTGATATATTCACCAGCATTTCTCAGTCTAACATCAGAATATGGGTGGATGTGTTCTTCTACATAGTAACAACTGTCTTGACCCCACTTGATCCTCTCGTTCTACTTCAGAGCTAAACTTTGTGAAAAAGTTGTGTGTAGCTTGTCTTCTTCTTCTAGTTCTCTATGTATTCCAGTAGGGCTTCTGCCCCTATTACTCCACAAAAAGTACTTTTGTTAAAGAGACCAATTGTTCTTTATATTGCCAGATCACAGTCACTTCTCTGTCTTCCTCTCAGCAGTATTCAACCCACTTGACTAAGTAATGGTCATTGAAAAAACAGTTTTGTGCTTCTTAGTTAGCACCTCTTGGTTTTCCTCCTATATCACTGGCTGGTCCTTCTCAGTCTCCTTTGCTTGACTTCCCAAATGTAATAGAGAGCTCTAGAACTGGAATCTAGGCTATCTTCTCTAAGCTCCCTAAGTAATCTAACAATTTGCATGCCACTAACCTAAATTTGTAGGTCTAATCTTGGCCTGTTGGACTCTAGTTTATATATTTAACTACCAACTTGATGTCTTTATTTGGATGCCTTATATCTTCAGTTAAATTATTAATATTAATAAAAATATTTAATAAAATACCTTTAGATTTAAGTGCCTCAAAACTTAACTATTCAAGCCAAAAGCCTAGGAATCATCTTGAGATAGTGCCCCTTCCGTTAATTTCCATCGTCTCTTCATTCAGCAAGTCCTGTTGGCCCTGCCTCCAAAGTGCAGTATATCCTCTGTCTGGCCTTGTGGCTTTCATTGTTGCCAGCATTCCAAACCACAACCATCTCTTGGACAACATGTTTTCATCATTTACTCCCTCATCCATTCTTCATACTGTGGTCTGAATGATCTGTTAAAAATCATATTCCTCAGCTTAAAAGCCTTCCAAGGATTTTCAAGGTCTTACATTATCTGCCCTTGTCTGTCTCCAGCATCAACCATACTAGCTGCCTTTTCTTTCTCCAACAGGCCAAATCGGTCCCATCTTACGGACTTTGCCATTAATCCATTGGCTACTTACTTGGAGTGGTGTCTCATCATTTTGCTGTTTAGACAGTGTAAAGTAGCCATTAAGGTATAGTTAAGTGTTTATAGTACACTGTTGAGGTAAAAAGAGTGTAGCGGGAGGATAGATATATTGGCTTACATATGCATAAAATAACTGTAAGGAAGCCCGAGAATTTGATAACATCATTTACCTCCACGGAGGGGACTGAGTGACTGGGGAACTACAGTGGGAAGTAAACTTCGCTGTACAACCACCATTACCTTTTAAATTTTGAACCATGAAAAGGTGTTACCTATTAAAACTAGGTCAATTTCTTAAATATTAATACATATTACTGATCTTAATAGCTCTAACTACAGGGGGAAAATGTGAATCAAGACATGTTTAAGATGACAGGGTAAAAAAATAGTGGCCACTGTATCCCCAGTGCTAGCATGTAGAAGACATGTGATATATATTTGTTGATTGAACAAGTAAGCTTGTTAACTTACGAAGCAGCTTAGAATCATTTACTAATCTTTAACCTGAGTCGCAGAACTTTAAAAAAAGGAACAAAGATTCCCTAATTTCTTTTTCCCAAGGTTTTGGATTAACTTGGATCCTGAGATGATATTTGTTAAAATGCTATACCAGTAACCATTCTGCACCTAGCAAATGAGCAGTTGTGGTTTTTGCTTTGAATACACACACACACACACACACAGAAAGGGCAAGGTTACTAGGTACTAGGAGTAGAGTTTATAGCCCAGTGGTTGGAATATAAATTTGTGCAATTTTTTTTTGAAAATAGATTGCAGTATGATTGAAAAATCCTAAATTTTGCATATCCTTTGATCTGAAAATTTTTATTTATTAATGTTTAAGGAGATAGATTGTAGAAATATGTTTGCTTCAATGTGGTTTGAGGAAATTAAAAATTGGGAACAGGCCAGGTGCAGTGGCTAATGCCTGTAATCCTAGCACTCTGAGAGACCTAGGCAGGAGGATTGCTTGAGGCCAGGAGTTTGAGACTAGCCTGAGCAAGAGCAAGATCCCATCTCTACAAGAAAAAATAGAAAAATTAATCAGGCGTGGTAGTGCATGCCTGCAGTGCCAGCTACTTGGGAGGCTGAGTCAGGAGGATCACTTGAGCCCAGGACTTCGAGGTTGCAGTGAGCTATGATGACGCCATTGCACTCTAGCCAGGACAATAAAGTGAGACTCTTGTCTCAAGAGAATAAAATAAAAATAAGTTTGGAACGGTGTAAATGTCCAGTGATAGGGGAACTGTTAAAATAACATCACATTTTTTTATGCAGCGTAAGTTTTAAATGATTAAAAAAAAAAATCTGTCAAATGCCTAGTTTGGTTTCCTTCACACTTCAGTGTGAGTGAACTCTAGACAAACAGGACATAAAATTCCACATACACACAAACATCAAGGGATAAGATTGGAAGGAGCTATATCAAAGAGTATGAAAACTTATTTTGGAAAGTTTGTGGATGATTTTAACCTTTTTTTTTTTTTAAACAATTCTTTTCTCTATCTTTTACAATAGGTATTCCTAACAAACCAGCTATAAAAAATAATTTAATGGATTCAGAAATAAGAACATGAAATCTAATAGCTTACTGGAAGTTTCTCTAGCAGAATCTATACCTCTTCCACTGCTAATTCATTTATGTACAGTAATTCTAAAATATAACCATCCTGGAGAGGAATTCTAATTAGAATGGGATTTTTAATCCTTAATTTTTGCTGAAACATCCCCCTTAACCTCAAATCCTGTGTTTTGAAAATTCTTGGTTGGCTTTTGGTGATAGAGATGAGAAGCTTGTTGAAACAAACATTTTAAAACCATTTCAGATTTCTTAAGGTTTCACATTGCATTCCAAAGCTTACTTAAGTACTTATCTTTTCCTTTTTCCACAGATTCCTCCCGCTCCCCTCAATAGGGTCATTCACCTGTCATAAAAATGGTTTCTGAATGAATAGATACTATATAATTTCTAATGCTTTAAGATGAAATATATCATAGAGAGGTTAATCATTATAAAGAAAACTATAGTTACTGGTCATATTTATGGTACTGTATTGGTTGATAAACCCACCAGGTCAGTGTTATATACTGGTACCAAAGACTGTAGTCCATAGACCCACTAGCATAGCTGAATCTTTTTTTTTTTTTTTCTTTTTTCCAGAGAATGTTTGCCCGCCTGATGAGGCAACTTGGGTTGAGGCACTGCCTATGAACTTATTTAGTAGGTACAAAATCTCATCATTTCTGTTCTTTCTTCATTGAAGAATACTTTTAGAGTCCGGTTTCCAAAGGTCTACCAAAAAAGAATTATGGTTTTGTTTTAATTTTCTAGTTTGAGACATCACAGAGGCTTGAGGCTAGAGGGTTATCACCATACTGCTAGTATGCAATTGTTTGTTCTTATTAGGTCTTATTATGTAATGCTGTTACTTTTTCAGACTGTTGCAGAGATAGGAACATGGGGGAGAAACAGTCTGGATAACATGAAAGTGATGCCGGTGGCCAAGGGGAGGCGACTTGATTCTCTGGGAAGGGCTATAGCTGATCCATCCGTTGTCTAGGTAAGCCTGCCTTTGTCACAAGGACCTCATCTCATGATTTGCAAATTTTATTCAAAACTAGATCATGATTTCCATTTATCTTTATTTTGGGACTAGCATCATTTCCATTGTAAAATGAGTGATGTCCTTTTCAAACAATAATTTGTATAGTAAAATTTTAATGAATAATTGGATCGTCAACATGTGGATGTTAATATATTTGAGTTTTCTTGCCAAAGGAAAATATATTTACTTCAGTAGTAAATATATGAATGGTCTAGTATCTTATGTATAAGAGCCAAATAGATCCAGTCATGGTAGCCTGTGTCTGTAGGCCCACCTACTTGGGAGGCTGAGGCAGAAGAATCACTTGAGCTCAGGAGTTCAAGGCTATAGTGTAGTGAATAGCTATTGTACTCCAGCCTGGGGAACATAGTGACACCCTGTCTCTAAAAAAAAAAAAAAAAAAGAGCCAAATAAATACTGAGTGATGAGTTGAAAATGTGGACTAGACCCCAAAAGTGAGGCAAGTACCTCATTGAACATTATGAGGTGGTTCTGGAGACTAGGCCGGTGATTACAATCCAAATACATTTTCTCCTGCCAACCATTGTGTTCTACAACTCTAATGATTCAGTTTGTCTGAACAAGAGGCAAATGATATTTGTGTAGACTAGCAGGTGAAGTCACTTTCAACAATGAAAAGTTTTCTATTTCAAAAAAAGGCCTAATTCCATATCTATTAGAAAAGCAATTTGGTTGATGATGGATTTTATACACTTGTTTAATATATGAGGAAAAAACAGTAAGAAAAATTATTTAATGTTCCTATTTTCAGACAGTAAAGCTTAAATACCTGTAAGAAATGTTTTGGAAAAATTAATTCTTAGGTAAGTATAAAAGTTGTGATGAATCTTCTGCTAAAGAATCAAAGGTTAAACACCTACGAAGCTGCCAGTAAAAACATAATCAGGCCGGGTGTAGTGGCTCACGCGGGTAATCGCAGCACTTTGGGAAGCCAAGGCAAGAGGATCACCTGAGGCCAGGAGTTTGAGACCAGCCTAGGCAACATAGCAAGACCATGTATCCACAAAAAAATAAATTAGCCTGGCATGGTGGCGCGCATCTATAGTCCTAGTTATTTGAGAGGCTGAGGTAGGAGCATGGCTTGAGCCCAAGAAATCAAGGCTGCAGTGAGCTATGATTGCACCACTGCACTCCAGCCTGGGCAACAGAGCGAGACCATGTCTCTAAAGGGGAAAAAAAAAAAAACATAAAAATTAGTGAGAGTTTGCTGATATGACAAAGAACTTCAAAGAGATTCTCTTTCATTGAATGTGGTAAAAACACTTCTTTTTAAAAAGTATTCTAAATGCTGTAAGTTTTAAAAATTTATCAGAGCAGTGAGACTCTTGCAGATTGTTACATCTAATTCTAAATAATGGGTATAAGTTTGTGAAAGGCAGTTTTTCAAAATCCCTAATCTGGACTCTATTATACAGATTTGAGTATGAGCACAGTTGAAGAGGATTCTGACACAGTAACAGTAGAAACTGTGAACTCTGTGACTTTGACTCAGGACACGGAAGGGAACCTCATTCTTCATTGCCCTCAGAATGGTAGGAGAACTTGCTGACATATACTTGTGACTCTGGTTTTCTGAATTCCATGTCACTTTTGATTCCTGTTGTGC